GCTTCCTTTGTGCATATTGAAAAGGGACGCTCCATCTCTTCTTGCAGTCACATTCCCTCTCTCTCTCTTTCGGTTCCTCTGCTCCACTCCTTCTCTTCTCTCGCTTACTTACTTACTTTTCCCCATGTCTCTTGCTCTCTCTCTTTCTCTCTTCTGTCTTCTCTCTCTCACCCCGCACCCCCTCCTCCTCTCTCTCTCTTTCTCTTCTCTTTCGCTCTCGTCCCTCTCTCCCAGAGCAGGGTAGGGCTTCCTCTGTGCATTTTGAAAAGGGGAGAACCATCTGGCGTGCAAACGGACAGAGGAGGTCAAACACATCCTTTATTATTACATCAACAACATGATTTCAAGTTCAGATATAGGTTCAAGTACGTTCAGGTAGTGACTATGGTTCAAGACGATGTATCTGTTTTTTTACCGTCTTTAAAAACGTGAAGAAACAGAAATAGTTCACTTTAAACAGTTTGCAGTGGTCCAGAGTTACTCCTCACTTAAGTATTCACCATGATGAGTTTATAAGCACTTTTCTCAACTTTCAGAAGGCCAGACAGAAGTAGCAGGCTCACGCACATTTTATGATAATTAGAGCTGGGTATCATTAAGAAGTTGCCGATACGATACATACCTCGATACATAGATCACGACATGATACATACCTCAATACATAGACCACGATACAATACATACCTCGATACAGTGAGCTTAAAATTCAATATGATGTATTTCAAATTGAAAAAAAAAAAGGCTAAATCATGTCTCTGTGAAAATAAAAATCTTTGTTAAACCACTTCTTGTGCAAAGTTCATATGAAACACAAACATTTTAATCCTCAAAACAGTGAAAATGTCAAATGTGTTGCATAAACGAATTTCCTTCCTCTAAACAAACAACAAAACTATTGCACTATAAGAAAATAATTTAGTAAAATACACCAAAAAATACTCTTGGCGATATATCGATACAGCACTCTCCGATACAGTACCATCACATTAAACAATAGGATATATCAATATTTCGATATTTTTGCACACCCCTACTATTAATAACGATAAAACACTTCATAAATAGATGTTGACAGTACACAGCTGGCTTACAATATAAATGTACTGGGGCAAGGCACATTTCGCTCAAATACATGGGGGAAAAAATCAGATACAGGGCATTTAAGGTTAGGATCGGTCTCCAGGAAATTAACATAACGCAATATCCTCAAGAAATATGGAAACCCAATGTCTATGGAGTTGTTTTGTCAAAAGTATTGAAAGCCAGATGCAAACTGATAAGAAAACTAAATACTCATTTGAGCAGAAATGACAGAAACCAGCTTTTCCTTTTCCTTAGAGTGATCTTGAGCTGTATCAGAATAAGTATAAGAGCACATAGACTGCTATACACCCAAGGACCACGATGGAACCTACCTGGACCACTGAGGGATAACACACATAAAAGAAAGTATCACTCTATTCTAAAAAGGTTTTTCTCATGGCAAGGAGGAGAGAGGGAGGGGGTGGAAGAAGGCGAGCCTAAAGGAGAAGCGCTAACTACAGGCTGCATGTGGGACAGGGCAGGGTGTCATCTCGTAGTATCCCAGAGGCACTCCCTCCCACAGAGACCACAGGACGAGCCTGGGACACACGCATTTGACTCACAAATGCAGTTTGCAAAAGAAGTCTACACATAAGCGAAGGGTGAAGAAATGTTCAGTAAAAGCGTTATGCAATAAAGTAAATGTAACATAACATAAAGGTGACGCACAGCTTTTCCATTCTAAATATGTATAAGTTTATCTTATATTTGATTAGGAATATGGGGCTATAAACGTCCTATATTACATAAAATGATTCTTGTGAGATTTAAGACATATCATAATGTTACTTTTACCTCATCAAAAACAGACCTGGAGTTGTGTTTTGATTCATTCACACATGTCTGAGAAACCCTTTATTATTATTAGTCTATCATCATCTCCAAAGCTCAAAATGCTCTGTTCCACCTTGTGATGTCATGCGGTTTTTAAGTTAACGGCTCCTTTTATGGCAAAGGAGAAATTCAATTTGTTGACAGGACAAAAGCTTATTGGTCTAATACATTTCGCAGCTCCCAGAACTGTCTCAGAACTGAAGAAGCAGCTTGGATGAGCTGCAAAACGTATTCGACCAATAAACTTTTGTCCAGTCAACAAATAGAATTTCTCCTTTGCCGTGGATTCTACCTGGACGACTGAGGGATTTTTCACATATCTTGAGCTCCTTTTACCTTTAGTTGAGTGAAGATTAGCAATTTCAGGACTTAAGTCATCCAAATGATTCTAGTGAAGGTGTATGGAGTTTAAAAACACCATGGAGCACTTCCTTCCTGTATTACCACACGGCATCACAAGGAGAAACAGAGTGTTTTCTGTTCTGGGAGAAGAACTCAGCCTAAACATGCAGGGTTTGTGAGTTAAACATGTGTGAATGAAACAAAACAACTCCAGGTCCAGGTTTGTGATGAGGAAACTACATAACACAGATCAGAGAATATTGTAATTATGGACCCTTATTTGCAAAGGCAGAAATGATTTTAGGTATTAGAAATTCAACTCATCATACAATCTTACATCTTTATCATGTGTAAAAGTGCTAACCCTGTAGATTTGACCTCAAACATTTTCTGAAAGTTGGTGATTCCTGCAGTTCAAAATGATTCCCAAATGCCAGTGTTTTTGTACATTTTTTAACTGTTCTCCATATGGAATCTATATAGAATGAGTATGCAGAATTATTATTTATCATATCATCAGCCTAACTTTTGACAGCAACTTGGTAGTAACTATTTTGTAAAGAAGATACAAATGTGAACAACTGACTAAAGCAATCATAACATAAGACCAAACCAGGGGGAAAGACAGAACTAAGCCAAAACAAAGAAGAGAGAAAGAGAAAAGTGCTAAACCAGGACTGGACCAGGACTGGACCAGGACGGGACCAGGACGGGACCAGGACGGGACCAGGACGGGACCAGGACTCGACCAGGACGGGACCAGGACGGGACCAGGACGGGACCAGGACTCGACCAGGACTCGACCAGGACTCGACCAGGACTCGACCAGGACGGGACCAGGACTCCAAAGTAAAAACAGAACTAAAACAAGACAAAATCAAAACCAAACCAGGACTAAACAAGAACACAAATGTGACCAACTGACTAAAGCGATCATAAAATAAGACCAAACAAAGATGAAAGACAGAACTCAGCCAAAACAAAGTTCCAAGAGAAAAGCACTAAACTAGGACTGGGCCAGGACTGGGCCACGACTGGGCCAGGACTGGACCAGGATTGAACTAGGACGGAACCAGGACTGAACCAGGATTAAACCAGGACTGCAAAGTAAAAACAGAACTAATAAAAACAGGACTAAACAGGACAGAACCAAAACCAAACCAGGACTAAACAAGGACTAATCAGGTCTACATCAGCACCAAACAAGGAATTAACCAGGATTGAACCAGGACTAAAGTCAGAAATATACCATGAATATATTAGGACTAAACTAAACCTGAACCAGGAGGACTGAACCTGGATTAAACCAGGACTGAACTAGGCTTAAACCAGGACTAAACCAGGAATCAAAAGTACCATAAAAGAACTTGACTACCTAATTCAACTCATGCCAACACCACAACTTTCAAAGCAGCATAGAACTATCTTCAAATAAAACTGAAATTATACAGCAATTACATTTTTTATTATGTCTAAAACAACCGGCATTGTCGTATTCAAAATTATATACCAGAAATTTGAACAAAACAACTTTTTATTGCACTACAATAGCAAATTATCACAAAATAAAGTGTAAAATTGGACCGAAACAACTCCAGAAAATATCAGCCAACATGAAAACCACTTCAAAACTAGTAATTAACTTATTTAATGTGAGAAGAAAAGCTCCTGTTGAGTCTGCTAAGTAGTTGAACCTTTGACCTTCTTTAGAGTCCAAGTACCTGGAAACGTGGATGAGTGGTCACCAATAATGTCTTAATTATCCCAAATCACTGCGCCTCCCCGTGCTAAAACAGAGACGATGAATCAGGCTAAAATGTGGCTAAAATAAAGAAGTACTCCATTTTGTTAAGTAAAAGTACAGATACTGGAACAAAACAACACTCAAGTGAAAGTATCATGTGAAAAAATCTGCTCAAGCAAAAGCTGAATCTGCTGAAGTAACAGTTTAAAAATGCACTTAAAAGAGTAAAAAGTTAAAGTATTTCATGCAGATTTTGAGGTCTAATAAAGCTTCAAATGTAGTAATTTTTGTGCTGAATTTTGTTATTAATAATTGATCATTTTCTACTTTTATTTGTATGTTTTTGTTTCCTCAAATTATGAACTAACCCTAAATTTGACTTTTCAGCAGGTACAATAAACAATAAAAAATACTTTTTAACTTGTCAGTCCAGTTTTCAAAAATACAGATATCTTCACTCAAATACAGTGAAGTAAAAGTAAAAAGTATCCAATTTAACGCACTTAATGCACAGATACAAATGTATACTTAACTACTTGCACTGCAAATTTCTCTGATCTGGCCAAGATTTTAAAACTTATATCTGGTTATTTCATCTTGTTTTCAGGTTGATTATCTACTTACTAGTTCTGAGACAGCTTAATTCTAGTCTAAAGGTAATTTATTTTAAGATAACTTGATCTTGCTGCATGGACAGATCATTTCACTAGTTTTAAGTCATTTTCTGATAGATTTAAGTGTTTATATCTTAAATTTGGGTCAATCTTTTTTGCAGTATGGTTTATTTTGCAGACATGAAACCCCAAAAGCAACGTGTCCCATTTAATTTTTAGAGCCAAGACTTGAATCATTGAAGTCCAGGTTAACATGGGCTTTTGTAGTTGCTTTACAATGTATTCAAAGCATATGACATCTTTAGAAGTGGGTTAAGTTTGAGTTCCCTTTTATCAAACCCAAGAATAGCCTTTTTATTGTATTTACGTGGCTTAAAACTTACCTATTTGCCCGTGTGGAGCTTGCTTGGGAAGTAGTTTTGCAGTCAGTTCACTCCTCCGTGACAAGTCTCCGCAGCCGCCGTGTGAAGCAGGAAAAAACAGCCGACCATCCAGGCTCTCCGCGCGGCTAGGGGACGAAGGAAAACCGGTTCTTTCAACTCGTCTTACCCGCGGGCTCTTTCTTGAAATTGTGGGGTTAAATTACACCATGTTTTATCTTTGTGAGTCAGGCAATTTAGCTGAAAAAGAAGCAGTGTGACTCAGCGTCTCCCAAACTTTAGCGAACTTTTCTGGAGGTCCTGCAGTTGACGCCACGATGAAGCCCGAAAGAGTCCCACCTCCTCCGGGGAGAATCGAAGCGAAAGGCCGCCCCTGTTCTACTACTTAATCTTTTTTTTCTCTCTTCTTTGCTTGGGTTGTTGGTGAAAACGCGGTCAAAATAACAAAAGAGGACCAGAGGAGAGAAAAGAGAGGTTCCCCCTTCGTGAGGCTTTGCGGGGCTGATCGCTCCATCCAAGCCGAGCCGTTGGTTTGTGGGAGCGGGGGGAGGAGGAGGAGGAAGGAGGAGGAAGGAGGGGGCTGGCTGGAGGATCCCGGGTTAGCCTATGGAGACGACCTAATAATTATCATAATAACAGCTTATAGGCTATCCATTTTACAACCTTTTCACTTTTTATGAGAAGTAATGGGAAGCAAGTTAGAACCGTCCTCTCTCTCCAAAACACACAGGGGAAAGCATATATTCACTTGGATATGGGCCCAAAGTACAAATACATAGGTTACTTTTAGTGTATACTCAGAGGCGGTGCTACCATTAGGCAATAGTAGGCGGCCGCTTAGGGTCCCCGAACCTGGAGGGACCCCTAACCAATCGCCCTCAGTGCCACAAATGGCCCAGGCCTCAGAGCAATGTGATTTTCTTTCAATATGACATTAAATGAGAGTATTTTACTGTTAAACAAAAAAAAAAACAACAACATCAAAATAGAATCTGATTGTCAAATTTATTTTAACTGTGAAAGCATCCCCATGTTAGAATAGACTAGTCAGCCTGACCCTGATTTTGAACATAATCACAGCACAATCATAATCATTGTAAACAAAAAATGTAATTGTACTAGCAAAAACAATAAAACTAATTTAGCTCTGGTTATCTAGTAGGCTACCTAACTAATGACACAAGTTTCCAATCCACCCCAGTTCAAATAAAGACGTGCATGTCTCATGAAAAAACAAACAACAAAAATCAACAACAACAACAATAAGAACAGACAATAAATATATATTTTTTTTAAATATAAAAAAATATATATTAAAAAAACCAAACAAAAAAAAACTGTGCATTATAGTGAGGGCCCCCAAATTGCTCCGCTACTGTGTATATTTGTAGTTGGGTGACCACATTGTCAAAATCAAAAACTGGGACACTCTCGGTTTGTGTTGGTTGATAATAATAAAACAGTGAAACGAGTGCGTAAGTAAGGAAAATTGTTTTTCAATCGGCCCATTCATGACTAACATCATGTGAGTCAGTATAGTCACATTTTCTTTGTGCTTTGGTCATTTTCAAGCAGCTTTTCTGCATTTTCCTGAAACATATGACAATGTATGACTCTCTTTACCAGAGCTGGGGCCTTGCAAGTCGTGACTTGGACTCAAGTCAGGCGTGAGTCTCTATTTTTAGGACTTGAGACTTGACTTGATAAAATGGACAAAGATTTGAGACTCGACTTAAACTTGAAGGTCAGTGACTTGGTACTTGACTCAGACTTGAGGCCTGTGACTTCAGAAGACTTGAGAAGCACTTTTAAATCTGAATTCTTTCTATTCTGACTGTAATGATTCACACTAAGATCTTGTCAAAACATTTAAAAAGGAAAAAAAAAAGTTCTACAACTCTTATATATTCATATATAAATATACTATGATTTTATCTGTAGAATTTAGTTTAAAATTCATATAAATTGCAAAAATCTAAGCTATATTTGGTACTTTGGTTTAAAGACTTGAAATGACTTGAAGCTCAGAGTAGACGACTTGGACTTGATGTGGACTTATGGGCCAGTGACTCGCAACTCGATTTAGACTTGCCTGTCTTTGACTTGGGACATGACTCGGACTTGAGGTCAAAGACTTGAGACTTATTTGAGACTTGCAAAACAACTTGGACCCACCTCTGCAGGGGACACAGGGCTCAAAACTGGGACAGAGATGTCAGTTCACCCTATGCATTGAATAAGAAGGAAAGAAAGTAGAATCATTTAGTTATTTAACCTAGCATTATCAGTATGAAAGTTTTACTTGATAATAAATAATGGCAGTTAAAAAATACATAGTCTACATTAAAATTAAAAGACCCATATTAGGCAAAATTAGGCTCTTAGGAGCTTTAAGCCATGTTAGAAAGTTGCTCCCCGATCAAAAACATACCCAGAGTTATGTTTTGCTTCATTCGCTCATGTTTGAGTACATCTCATGTCGTGATAATTGTCAAGTAAACGGCTCCTTTTACCTTTAGTTCAGTAGAGATTGACAATTCTGGAGCTGAAATCATCCAAATTATTCTGTTGAAGGTGTATGGAGCACTTCCTGTATTACCACATGACATCACAAAGTGGAACCGTGTTGTTTGTATGAGAGAAGAACTCAGCCTAAATATCCAGGATTTGTGTGTGTTAAACTTGTGTGAATGAAACAAACAAAACTCCAGGTCTGTGTGTGACGAGGAAACGACATTATAACAGATCAAAGAATAGCCTAATATGGGCCCTTTAAAGTTTATTCAAGAATTTCGCATTAGTAATTTTGTTTTGACTTCATAGATTTTAGTTTCCTGTCATTAGCCTATGTAGGGGACTTTTTACCATTCAAAAGATACAATATTATGTGTTGTTTATTGCTATGGCAACAGTCCTAATCTTTCATCATTCTGAAACCCATGGATAGCCTATAATATTCACCTCTGAAAACATAAGCTACATGTCAATCCAAAATCCAAACCCACTTTATTTACAGCAGTGTTTTCCAAACTTTTTTTCTGGGGACCCATATTTTAAAAGTCACAAACCTTCACGACCCAAGTCAATAGGCATTATTCATATATCACAAAATAAAGGCGGATTGATCATTATTGAACATTAATAAGGATATTTTATTGTTGACTGAGTGATCGTGTCTGAACAATTAGTATTACTCAAGTTTTACACAATGAAAAACAGTCAAAGCAGCAATAAAAGGATCTACAAGTCGCCTATTTGGACATTAAATGGAAGCCCATTTCTTTTTCTTTTCAACTTTCAACTGAACCAAAAATACTGGAACAAAATAGTCAGTAAAATAATTACAAAATGTTTAGAAATTATACAAAACATGTCTTAACATTTCAACATTTCTAATGAGATAGGCGGGCCTGTCTGAGTTTTTGTAGCACGTTCCAGTTCGGGTGCAGGAGGAGAATACAACTAGAATTGTATATCACAGACCTACATGCAGATCGTGACAAAGCGACCCAAAAACATTCTCTTGCGACCCACCTGAGGGACGCGACCCAGTCTTTGGAAAACAATGGTTTACAGTATATAGGCTAGCACACAACCAGTTGGAAAAAAAAAAAAAAAAAAAAGCCAAAGTATATACCAATAAACATTATAATAAATACAGATATACAAAACATGTCAAGACAAAACCCATTAAAAACCCTATATTACACCATTTACTGTAAAATAAAGTGCAGAGATTTTAGTCTTTAACTGGGCAGAAGGCTTTAAAGTCATAAACTACAACAATTAATATTTACAATGATATTTTTGCATTTCTCTGCCCATACTGTAAGCTCCTAGTTTGTGAATGTTGTACACTGACAATGGAAATAAAACTTCTGATTCAACTAAACTAAAATCTTAAGGAATGTATTTATTTATTTTATAGAAATGCCCCTTGGGATGTGCCATCTTGTTGTCGAGGGGGCCCAAAAAACACAAAATATTAGTAATACATAATACAATACAGTCCAATACAATAGACAGAATACAAAACTTACAGGTTTACATTAAAAAAACACACACACACAAACACAGAAGACAGACATGCTCCCTCAACTCCTGCGGCAGTATTTGATTTATAAAAAATAGAGTACATTATATAACAATGATGTAAACAAATGAAAAAGTAATAGTAGAACAAACTGAAAAAGAAAAAAAGCAAACCAAAAATGTAAACAAGGAGTTTTGAGAGATGAAAACAAAGGCAATTTAAATGAACAGAAAAAAAGTTAAACTTCTTAAGGGTGTGGGTAATCTATTCCAGTCTGAAGGGGTTTTATGATTGCAAATATATATTTCAAGTTGTGTGCATTGGCCATCAGTTTTAATATGAAGCACTACTCAAGCCAGGTTCAGATGAGATCACAACATAGCCTCACCATTTTTGATTTACTTTATTTAATATTTCTTTTGTTACTGTAGCAGTGCTTTTTGGGACTACGCTCAAAAATGTAACTCCCCAGTGCTCTGTTTTTTTAATCCAAACATAAAAGCATGAGGAGGAAATCATTTTTAGTATGTGTGCACTAGATCTTGTGGCACGAGATTTTGTCCCATCTTTACCAGTGACTAAACCCATTAACTTGCTATGTAACAGCAAAAAATACATTTTAACTGCAGCTGCCCCCCATTTGTATTAAATAATATTGGCCTACAGAATGGTGTGATGTATCTTAAAACCAGCAATTGCTAAAACGTTCGTATTAAAGGTCAGGTTCAACATTTGTGAATTTACCTTTTGGATATGATAATAGGAAAAACTGTCTCTTGTCACCATCTGGAAGTATGAATCTGAAAACCACCATCAGACAATATAAATAGTAAGACAACACCAACAGTAGTGGATGAAGTACTCAGTTTTGTTACTGTACTGTTATCTGTAAAAGTACAGATACAGGGACAAAAAAAGTATCACGTGAAAAAATGTACTTAAGTAAAAGCATTAAAGTACCTGTTTAAAAATGTACTTAAAGAGTAAAAGGTACAAGTATTGTGTTTTAGAACAATTAAAGGATGAAATGTAATGATTTTGATAATAGGTTTAGTGGATTTTAAGTGATTCAATTGATTTTTCTTTCTTTTTTTAAGCTGTTTTGTGTTTTTGTGTGTTTGGTTTGCTCAAATTTGGGATGGAATATCAAATTAAAGATGCTAAAAATAAATCTCTGCCATTTCAGCAGGTCTCAAATCATAAACAAAAGTACTTTTTACTTTCCAGTCGAGATCTAAAATGTTGTGGAGTAGAAAGTACAGACACACGCTCTCAAATGTAGTGAAGTAAAAGTTAAAATTATCCACTATAATATGTACTTCAGTAAAGTACAGATACCTAAAAAATATTACTTCATTACCTTCCACCAGTGGACAACACACACAAATCACTCCTATTACCACACACAGAGAACTGGTATTTGAGGCCTGAAAGATGCTGAGTTTCTGGTTTCTGCATATTTACTGCAGCAACTGATAAAGGGGTCAA